AGGCGTCTAACTCTTGCCTGCTGGTTACTCGGATCGATATAAATCTGATGAAGGCCGGAGAACACAACAACCGAACAACAAAGACTACAAGGACAATTGTCCGAATTTGAATAGAGTAAATAAATTGTTCTTCTTTGTCCATTAATTTCACTTTATACCACAGGGGTTTAATATTACCATTATTAATATTCCTAAAAAGAAATCTGCTAATATTACTTGAAGAGGAATAAAAGGGATGGTAACTGGTCAAAACTTACTTATAGCAACAAAAATAGGAAGTTGTGGAGAACTATGATCTTCTGGTACCTGAAGGGGAAAGACTTTTAAGAGTGGTTGTGCAAAATAAGGACATTGCAGATTCGTTTTATGTAAACATCATATCAGAAATATTTACACTCAGGAGGTATTAAGTTATAGAAAAGCGTCATTAGTAATAAAGAAAAGAGTGCTCAGTTACTGGTTATATTAAATTTCCTATAGAGGTTATATTAAATTTCCTAGGGAGGCACGGTGGCGTAATGATTGAAGAATCGGAGAGCCGAGTTCGAATTCCAGTCGAATCTATTGCATTCACTTACGTGCTAATAACCCTGTAAAAGGTATGAATCCTCTTCTTAAAACTATGGGTAAATATCAAACCAGGTTCTATAGCCTTGGCAACTGGTCTATCGCAGAAAGAAATCGCAAACTACTGCAGGAAAAAATCTGCTTCGTCAGTCATATATCGAAAGATACATAACTGATTGAAATTTCCTATATATCAGTAAATTTCTCATGAACAAAGGAGAGAATGAATGGGTAGATATTTACCATCACCGTTAAAGCAAATTAATATTCATCATCGTGTTTGTAGATGAAAATGTTCCTAATTCTTCCATACCCTGTAACCTTAGTGGCTTCATTGCCTTGCATGGGATGATACGGATATATATATATATATATATATATATATGTAAAAAGAGTACAAATGGATTATGATTCCACCGTACGCAACATTTAATTCAAAAGAAGGCTCAATACATAGCTGAGCTAAATATTATTTATTTTATGATATTAAAACATGTTAAAAATCGCTACACAGTTACAATTATGTTTCAACACCGAAAATGTGTCTCTTCAGGCTATGTTAAATTACTGGTTTTAATATCCAAGAATAAATTATATATATATATATATATATATATATATATATATATATATAAATGGTGAAAAGGTATATGTTCAGAGTTGGATTAGACCAGGAAACAGTAGTATTAAATCTGACGATACAGAAAGTTTGAAACTAAGTTAGCGCAATCGATTGTTCTTCTATTTTTTTTTTAATATATACAATATGGTCGATTTGGTGAGGTCAGTATGATGTTTGCAAGACCCGAAACTGCCCAATGATCCATTTCCAGAACATCACTGACGACGCCCTCTAGCGCTAAAAGAGCGTATATTCAAAGCAGTAATAAAATCTTGTGGATTTAGACAAATCCCCAATAGAATGCAGAAAACACTGGACGGCCGTCTCGTTTGTTTTTTGGGACTCATCAGCAGTGCGCTTTCACTACCGAAGTTCAAACCCGTACCTTTTCGATACAACGCAAGCGTCATACCAACTGAACATACGGGCCTCTGTAGCGAAGTAGTATCTGAATAGACAATACATCGTCTCTACTCACAAATTCAATGGTGATACTCATCCAAGCATTCAGAAACCCAACAGATTGTGCCCTTCACCCCCGAACTGCTCCATCACAGAGCATTAGTTGGGTCAAGCAAGTCAATACAAGTAATAGAATTTTGTGGATTTAGGCAAAGCATTCATCAAATCTAGAAAAATCCTCAACAGAATGCAGAATGCACTCGAAAGCCGTTTCGTCCTATATTTGGGACTCATCAGCTTTTACCATTTTGTGAGTTGCTGCGCTATATCGAGTCTATTCAGTTTCTTCCTCGTTACCGAGCCCTGTTGGTACAGTTGGTATGACGTTTGCGTTTTATCGAAACAGACCGGGTTCAAATCTCAGTTGTGCATGCGCATTGCCGATTTGTTCCAAAATTGGAGGAAATGGCCATACAATGTTGTTTGCATTCTGGTGAGGATTTTTCTAGACTCGATGAATTACTGTAATAATATAGTCATTGGTTTTTCAAATTGTTCATAATTTACTATATACAATAATTTTTTTTATAATATTCATAGTGTACACATTATTCTTACAGTATCTAATGATATTAAACTTTTATCCCAAATCGAATAGTTATACTTCCAGCTATAAAACTATAAGCATATAAACGATTGAAATAATCTAGGGATGACTATAAAAAGTGTTTCACGTGATTTGCTCTTTTTGAAATTCTGTTTCATTTTCTGCCTCCATTCCAATTATTTGTGGCAACTGACGAGTTTATTATGACTGTTTTTTAAAACAAATAATGTGTTTATTGTAACCATTTTCAAAACTAATAAGTTTACTTTAACCATTGTTCTTTCTCGATTATATACCATTACTATTACGTACTTTTATAAAAAAAAAATGTTGTATATCAACTCCCGTTTTTAATGCTTGTATAAATACTTTATTTGGTTCATTATTTTTGTCTGAATTTCTGGGATGAGTAGTTTTCATTATTTACCCCATATTTATATAGGACTATTAAAGGTGGTAACGGTGTAATAACAAAAAAAAAATGAGGACAATAATAATCCGAATATAGATAGTACAAATATTGATTTATTATCAATTCTAATTACATTTATATTTTCAATATATTTATAAAGATTTTATATATTTTATTACAATAATTTTTATACATTCTTTTTTCGTTAATAATATACTTCAATATTTTTTGCATAACGCATTGTAAATTATTGTAAATTTTTATTACTTTTTTTTTTATCGTATTTTCATTACATTTTTGGCGTAAATTCCAAACTGTCATTATATAATCGCTTATTATAATTATTTGATATCTTCTCCGGCTCTCAGATGTTTCCGTTGTGTAATGATATTTATATCTTAACTCCTAACCGTTGATTAGAGACACTACAATTTCCTAAGCACATGAGTTGTTCTAAGCAACTCTGCCCCACCTGCACACTGCCAATGATTTCAGGTATCCCCGATGCGTCCTGCGAGGCAGGAAGAACACTGGAACTAATTTCGAGTGCTGCAACCACAAAATTATTATTATTATTTTATTTCCTTTGATTTCTGTCGTGTACTCATTTCTTTCCGGGTCCCAGCCAGAAACCTAAGGTCAGAAATGGCATCATGACATTTTCCACTAAGCAATTAAAAAAACAAAAAACAAAACATATTTTACATAAATAAAGCCCTTCGTAAGGTGTGGGCTGTAGTCGTGAGAACAATTTTTTGTATTTCCTTAAGGTATGAACTTCCAGGAATTCCCTACTAGAATCGTTTCCAACTAATCCGAGGAATACTAGTGTTTGAGCCCTTTATATTATATTCTTACTCTGTCCTGGACATTGAGTTCTACATGGATTATATCCTCTTAGCAATTTATATATATATATATATATATATATATATATATATATATATATATATATATATATATATATATAATTATTTATTCGAAAATTATAATATAAACATGTTATAAAATCACAAACAAAAATAGACATTTTGTTTCAACATTTTTGGTGTCTTATCAAGTGATAGTGTTATTATATATATATATATATATATATATATATATATATATATATATATATATATATATATATATATGTAAGCAAATATATGGATATAGATCCGACAGTATGAAGAAAATATATACGGAAAAAAAAAAAATCCTTATATACAATTATGCTGTTTTAATAAAAACAGCATAATTGTATATAATTTTTATTTTTTCCGTATATATTTTTTCTTCATATATATATATACATATATATATATACACATATATATATATATATATATATATATATATATATATATATATATATATATATATATATATATATATATATATATATATATATATATATATATATATACATACATATATATATATACATATACATACATACATATATATATATATATATATATACATATATACACACATATATATATGTATATATATATATATGTATGTATATATATATATGTATATACATATACACACATATACATATATGTATATATACATTTATTATATTTTCTAATTAAAGTTTTGACTATCTGCCTATTTTAAAATTTTTCATGACTGTTTCAGACTCAATGCTAGCTTAAGAGAATAATTCTATAAGATAATAAGAGATTTATCATTTTCTTATTTTGCATTAACGATGCATTATGAGTTAGTAAGGTAGATATGGTACACACATTCGTTTAGCAAAAGGCTAACCTATATGAAATGAGAATAGAAAAACTGTGTCGTACCAATGCCAAGAAGATAGGTGCTGCTGAAAGTCAGTATACAACACTTAAGTTTTATCGGGGTTATTGGAGATGTTTGGTTTTTACTTGGGGCTTAAACGCCATTTTTTGTTCTACAGGAAAATTACAAATATTTCTCAACCACTAAACAATCCCAGAAAACTAATAACACCAAAAATAATAGATTTAATGCCATTTTCTTAAGCGATACATAATAGTTAAATTATTTTTAGTTGCTAATAGCAAATTCAAGAGCTTTGTTTTCGAAAACCGATCACAACTCAACCGAACTGAAAGAAATTCGCTCCACTTATAAGAGATTTCCGTTTTTTATTTTTAGAGATTTAAAAAAAATGTTTATTGTTTTCCATATTTTAACGCCGTGTGATGTCACAGTTTTCTCACCTTTTAAAATCTACCGTTTGCTGGTTTAGTCAGCAAACTCCATGACATCACACATAAGGTAAAGAGATAAAAAAGCTTAGTAAAAAGAAGAAACAGTAGAAGAGAGTGAGGGAGATCAAGAGCAATGTTTATAAATGAGCAAGGTTTACTGTTGATTGATAAATGAAAGTGAAGTGATAAAATTAGAAGAATTCAAGAAGGAAAGAAAGAATAAATAGGGATTAAATAACTTTGAAGAAAGAAAGAAAAAAGAAAGAAAAAAAAGAAAGAAAAACAAAAAATAATTAAGGACAGCGAATTAAATACTTTTGAAGAAAGAAAGAAAAATTATACATTAAATACTTTTGAAGAAAGAAAGAAAGAAAGAAAGAAAGAAAGAAGGAAAGAACAAAAACTAATTATGGACAGCGAAAGAAAGAAAGAAAGAAAGAAAGAAAGAAAGAAAGAAAAAAGAAAGAATGATGCAAATAGGGATTAAATACTTTTGAAGAAAGAAAAAAGAAAGAAAGAACAAAAATAAGTAAGGACAGTGAAAGAAAGAACAAATACGCATTAAATACTTTTGAAGAAAGAAAGAAAGAAAGAACACAAATAGGGATTAAATACGTTTAAAGAAAGAAAGAAAGAAAGAAAGGAAAGAGATCAAAAACTTTTGATGAAAGAAAGAACAAAACATAATTAAGAATTTCGAGAGAAAGAAAGAAAGAAAGAAAGAAAGAAAGAAAGAAAGAAAGAAAGAAAGAGGAATTGCAAACTTTTCAAGAAAGAAAGAACGAAAAGGAATTAAAGACTGAGAAAGAAAAAGTATGAGAGGAGGGAAAACAATTAAAGTCTTTTCAAGAAATAAAGAATAAAAGAAAGAACAAAGAAGGCTTAAATACTTTTGAAGAAAGAAAGAAGACTAATTCGAAGAAAAGAGAAAATTACAGAAAAGAAGAAAAGAAGAACATGAAGAAAATGGGGGGGGGTGTAGAAAAATGATTAGAGTAAAACGAATAAAGAAAAATAAGTTATACTAAGTACTAAGAAGAAATACACTATAGAGAAACCATGAATTAAACAGAAGAAAGAAAGCAGATCATTGTATGGATTTAGGAAAGAAAAGAGGAGAAAAACAAAAGATAGAAGAAGAAAAGGGAAGTAATTAAAAAAGAAGATTCCATGAAAAAATAAAGAAACACACAGAGAGGAAACGATTACAAAAAGTAAAGAAAAAGATGGAAAAAAAAAAGAAAGAAAAACAATTGAAGGAAAAAAAATGAAAAGGTATGAAAAAATAGAAGGTAATAGAGAGAAAGGAAGAAGTAAGGAAAAAGAGAAAGAAAGAAAGAAAGAAAGAATGAAAAGAATATAAAAAGTAAAAAATAAATAAATCGGGAATGAGAAATATAAAAAAAAGAAATGAAAAGAAGAAATAAACGATGGATGAAGAAAGAAAAGAAAGAAATGAGAAATAAAAAGAAGAGATAAGTGAGAAAAAAAAGAAAAACTAAAGGGAAATAAAAATAAGCAAATAGAATGTGGGAGAGAAAAGCAAAGAAAACAGAAAAAGCGTCTTCATCATCAGAAAAAAAAAAAAGAAGTCTTTTAACAGATGTAAGGATATAACCTTAAGAGTCTGTGATTGAATCACAACCTTCTTGCCGTTGTAACATCAATAAAAGTCAAATTTGTAGATGGTAAAATTGGCACTATTTTCTGACACTTCACATTGCGTATTTTTATTTTTTTTATCAGGATAAACGGGGTTTCGTTTTTTTCAACATTTTTAGATAGATCATGAATGTGTTACATAAATGTTTTATGTTTGACGATTTTTTTAAAAACGTTTCTGCTTTGTGTTTAAGCCTCGGGTTTAATATACGGGACACGAGCTATGCTTCTTTCACTTTCGCCACGACTTTCCCAACTGTCTCGTTCTCTTTACAGAACTGGAGAAGCAGGGGGGAAAAAAAAAACGAGTATTATCGTGCAAGATCTGAACAACACCTATTCATCAGATGAGTTAACGAATTCGTCTGCTCACAAGGAAAAATGGCCGCCGGCGGGTGCAGCCAACAGCGAAGGTAAGGCTGTCGAAAGACTTCAAAAACAGGAATAAAAACATGAGCAAGAATTTCGGGAAAAATACAAAAAATTACTTGAACTTTCGTCAATTTTTAAAGAAAAAACAAAACAAACAAGAGCAATACACTGTGCCATATTCAAACAAACAGACGTACGTACATGCGTCTCCACAGCCACAATGACAGAAACGCACACACACACAACAATCACGCATGTATACAGGAACACACAACGTTATACACATAGACACGCACGCACGCATGCGCGCGCACACGCACACACAGAGACGTTTTCACACACATAGACACTCGCGTGCGTACACTCACGTGCACACATACACATATATTACTTCAAACGTTATTATAGCAGATACTCGTATTTGAAACATACGTCCCATTTTTATTTTATTATAAACTTTATTTATTATAAATACGAGTGTCCTCTTTAAAAGAGACTGTTTAAAATAAAATGGTGCGTTTATTTCAAATACGAGTATCCATTATAATAACGTTTGAAGAATTAAAAATGTCGGATTAAAAATAAATCCATTAATGCCTCAGAAATTGTTTTATATACATTTCGAATACGAAACTGAGCAGAAGAAGTTTGTTTTCCTTAAAAGGGA